CTGCAATGAGAAGCCCATGCACCGCAACGAAGAGTAGCCCTCGCCCGCCGCAACTAGAGAAAGCCCGCGCACAGCAATGAAGACCCAACGCAGCCAAAAATAAATAAATAAAATAAATTTATTTTAAAAAAAGAAATATAATTATTAAAACCTCTAAAACCCAGCTCAAATCACTAATTTGTTCCCTCAGCTCAACAAAACTACAAACATTACTTAGACACCGTTCTAGGATCTTTCTAAGAATCATGCAACTTTAAAAAGCAAGGTCAGTGAGCTTAGAGTTTTCAGAATCACAAAGTCTTTAGGGAGTCTACTTTTTACCTACTCTTATGGGGTGGTTAGAAAGTTTTCCTGTGTTAGAGTCATTACAAGTACAGCACAATGACGATGACTTGTATAGCACTTGGTAAAGAACCAAACCAATATTACTTATTGATAAGGATGACATTTTATTATATCAAAGGTGATATAATAAGGAGATGTGAGAGGGAGAGAAGCCAGCTACTTCCATCAGACAAAGCCTCAGAGGTGAGCAATACACTTGCAGTCCTTAATTACACTGGTCTCTTCTCTGGCTTTGGATACTCTGATCTCCATAAAACACTTAAGAATCACCCTAGTTTCATCAATACCAAAAGTAGTTTACTCTGCATATGATTTACCTCACCTGCTTAATGACGCTACAGGATTTATTCTCATAAGGTAATATTCCCTGACCTTGATTTAAAAGTGGGGGAAGGTAGTATGGAGATGGAATGACACCTTTACATTCCATGACACAGCCCTCTGTGGCACTACCCAGTCATCCCTAAGTGTCGCATAGTTAACTCCATCCGTCTTGGCTTCATTGTCTCTCAATGGGACAGTCAGGTGAGGTAGAAGCTTCTGCTGTATTTTCAAAATAACTTTAAGTTACTTAAGTATTTCCTTTGTCATCTGATGACCAAAAAATATACAATGCCATTTTACCCAGTTATATATATAAACTTGAAAGACTAGGGCTTCAGACCATATAATCAAAATCTCTTATTTTAAAATCCAAGTTTAACATTCACTAAATTTTACTAAAACCATTTCCACTGTAAATAGGAAAACACTGTTAATAAAAAAATAAATTCCTAAATCATTACTCACTTCTAGAATAAAGGCTTTTTAGAAACCTAATGATAACAATACCACTGAATATATTTTCATTCTAAAATTCCCTTCATGATTTCCCCCTCATTTCTTAATATCTTCTTTCTAAAAGAAACTTTTGTCTTCTTATCTGGGAGGATCCAAATCAAAAACACACAAAGCTGAGATGGACAGATCAGGATTAGGAGTAGGGAGGTTATTTCATCAAATTAAATTAATTCAACCAAATGTGGCTTAACCTACATAGCATCAGACACACTCCAATCTCTCTCAGAAGTTATAACCAAAAAAAAAAAAAAAAAAAAAAAAAAATTCTTATAATAATGGGTAGCTTGCACAGCTCAAAATTTATTGTTGATAAATAAGTCTTTTCTCAGCCAAATAAGGAGCTGCAATAAAGATAAAATGAGAATGTTGAAGAAAGAATAAAGGTGTTTATAATCTTTTTAACAGGAAGACATAAAGAATGCAATTTCGCTAAACAACATGATTTCTCAGTATTATGTGTGGATATGATCATTATTTTTATCACTTCCACATCTTTACTTTTTAAATTTTTCTTTGATGTAGTCTTTTTTAAAGAGTTTATTTGTGTAGTGATAATCTGATAATTAATGCTTGTTGACTAATGAAATGAATCGACCTGTCTGAATAGCAAATAAAAAAATTCACAAGTAATTTAACCACTTGAGGGAACACCTGAGGGGAAAATGCAAAGGAGTTTTTATCACTCCTTTCCAAGTGGTCCTTAGAAAATCTCTGGTAAAGTGCACCAAACTATCCTTTTCATGAGGATAATGTAGTGATCAAATAAAAAACTGCTACAGCTATAAATTTTGGTCAACAAATTTTACCTTTTTTAAAAAAAAAAAAAAAAAAAAAAAAAAAAAAAACTTTTAATACAGCCACTGAAGTTAGCTGGGCCTGTGAATCTTTCAGAGCAGCAGGACTGACAAGAAAAACAATAAAAACCTAAGGGTAGTTTCAGGGATGAACATTGAGCAAGCTACTGCTATTGCCTGTACACTTCCAAATGTATCATGAAGTGCTATAACCTAAAGATTGGGGAAGGGAAAAGAAATAAAGAATTGTAAAACCTTGCAACCTAGTCCCACTGAACAAAATTATGACTTTATGTGGTGAATAAACTGGCAAGAGATGAGATGGCTCTGAAGCAGTTCCTCCCACTGACTGGGTGAAGAAACCTCCCTAGCAATAGCTCACTAAAGGCTGATGTAAAACTCAATACCAGCCTCTGGTGTTCAGAGAGAGCAACACTCCTGGGTAATGGATCTTGTGATCCAACTACCACCAAAGTACCCTCTTGAGATGTAAATTAACCCCAGACAAAGAAAAACTTTATTCTGGCTATCTACAGAAAAACATTCAGGTTTCCCACAACATTGATCCAGTTCAAGAAAAAATGCATGCCTAATGAATGCTGAGTACTTACAGTGAGGGAATCCCAAGTTTATATAAAAAATTATTTTTAAAAAACTTCAATGTTGTCCAATATATATGATAATATTACTGACTAACCAGTGCTGAATTGGTTTTTCAGTAGCAGAGATTGATTTGTACTGAATCAGCCACTTACTAACCTGGTCATTCTTACAATCAACATTTTCAAGATGACAGTCTAGGGTTAAGGATACAGAAATGGCCATGAAACATGAAACTCACTGGCTCATCCACAAATCAAAACTATATTCCTAACCTCACTGCACTTTTCCTAAAAATGCATAGCAACAATGATTTACTAAATGTTTCTCCCTTCTTCCTCAACTCACTCTTCCTTTTCTACCTCAGTCTATGCTGTCTCCTCAGTCTGAACTCTACCTAGCCTTCAAAACTCAATTTAAATCCCATCTCATCTGTCTCCCCCGACCTCACATCACCAATGCTACCATGTCTCCCCCTCTCTGAATTCTAAAGCACATTATTGTCCATCCTCATTCACCTTAGCTGTTACTTTTTCCAACAAAACTGTGAGGTTAAGGGCAGGAACCACATACTCCTCAGCACCTCCAGGACATTCAGCTGAGAGAACCTGGTATGTCTGCAGGAAGTATTCAGTTGCACTTAGGACTCAATTTACAAATCAGGCATGACAGATAATAAATCAGTCTAAAAAGATCAACAATTCCCCTCCATGTATCAAACTAAGGCTTAGAAAAACACCTAAAAAGTCTTTCAAATGATCCCTTTTAAACAGCACTTTGAAGTGAGGACTTGAGATGGTAAGAAGAAAAGATATAAAAAGTTGCGGAAAGTTAGACTGTTTTCTCACTCCTAAAGGCAAACAGTGAACAGCAACTTAAAGATCAGAAGAGCTGAGGCCACACTGTTCAATAGGACATCACATTCAACATGTCACACACATACTGGCTGAATTCCAGACTCCTTCTCAGTAGTAAGGGAGCATTCTGGAGGCTCTGATGTTCGCTGACAAAAAAACAAGGCACCTGCTCTTCTCAGCACTGAAGTATGGCAAAAAGCACACAGACACAAACACAGCCGAATCAGCAAGCAAAACTAAAACAGCATGTAGATGACACTGCAACTATGAAGTTGGCGGTCGGGCAAAAAGAGAAGAAAAGAAAATGCTGTAAAAGCCCGAAAACGCACAACCTTTAGGTGAAAAAGGCTAAAATAACTTTTAGGCACTTTTCACTGGACTCCATTTGTGTTTCCAAGAAATAAGACATACAGACACACTTTAGTAGGCTTTCTTACAGATTGTATGACCCACTATAAACACTGAGGGAAGTTGTTAGACAGGCACCCTGTGTTAAGGCTGAACATAGATACTTCTAAGGAAAAGAACAAACATAACTAGTTCTAAAGATGTGGCCAAAGGTAGGATTAACATTCACCCTGGTGGGTCTCCCTGTGGTAGCTATAACCCAACCCCAAGCAGCCTGTGCGACTGGTGTGCTGTAGCTGGCTAGCATGCTGCAGAAGCACTTTTTGTCACAGCCATAGCACTACCTCTCTAGGGGCTAACACAGTCTGGCAGATAGTGGTGAAAACCAATTTTACATCAGATGATGCGGTCCCCAGCATTCTGTCCTAGATCTTTTCTATTAAGTGAAGAGATAGAACGGGGGAGGAGGGGTGGGTAAGGCAGGTGGTGCTAAAGACACTGGCAGCATGACAACTAAAATAAGCAAGTTGAAACAGTATGTTCTGCCTTCTTCCTAAAGCCATTTCCTTCAACAGTGATAGGGAGCGCAGGCAGTCTGCAAGTCCTTAGTACACTGCTGTTTTCACTTTCACAAGAACGCTGGAAACCCCTGAATAGCAAAATTCCCCTCTCCATCCCAGTTACCTTCCAACCCTCTCTTTCTTTCCGTGCTTTCTTCCTCCTTTCTTCCCTAGAGACAACCGAATAAGGACAATCCTCAGCAATCCGCTATTTTGCTTCAATGAGGATGGGGGAGGGGAGGATCTGGTGAAAAGTGGAAAAGGAAATAGAGAAAGGTGAGAAGCAACAGCGGAAAGAGTATCGAGTGGGGGAAAAAGAGAGGTCATCGTGGAAAGGAGACAAGGTGAAGAGCGCAAGAAAATTGAGGGGATGCCAGAAGAGAACTTGCTAAAGAAGACCAAAAAAAAAAAAAAAATGGAGAGGGGGGCGGTCAAGAGGGGAGAGAGAGTGAGGGGCAGGTGGAGCATGCGAGCAGGAGTTACGGAGCCAGGACCGGGACGCCCGGGGTTTGGGGCCAGCGACCGGGAGGCAGCAAGCACTTGGGAGACCGATGTCAGGGGAGTCGGGGATGGGCGAGAAGCTTAAGACCCGTTCCGGGATATCGGGGCGAGGAATCCAGGCCGATGCCCGAGCGCAGAGGACACAGAGCTCTTACCGGTAGTTTGGGGCTGACCTCGCCCTTGCAAAAGTGGCAGAAAAACCGGTGCGCGGCAACCGCGGCGCCGGCGCCGGCCCCGGCCGCCGAGGCCTCCGCCATTTTTCTCTTTCGCCGCGGCCGTCCGAGAGGGCAGCCGGCCGGTCGCTCTCCAGGTCGCTACCTCCCAGCTGCTGTCGCCGCCTCTGCCGCCGCCGCCACTTCCTTAGTGCTGCCAGCCGCTCCAGAGCCAGCGCGGGTCACGTGAGTTCGCCCGGCCCACAGAGGCGGCGGCGCAGACAGCGACCTCGAGGCCCGCCTCCCAGCACCAAAGAGGTGCAGGAAGGAGAGTCAGCCAGCCGCGGCCCGCCCGCCGGCTCCTCAAACAGCCCCTCGCCGGTCCTCCAATCTCCCAGCGAGAAGAAAGAAAGAGCGTCCCCGGAAACCACCGAAACGCTGGGGTAGAGCGGCACATGTTTTGCCTCTTTGCCGGTCCTCCTCGGTGGCCGTGCTCCTGCGCGAAAGGACCTTGGGCTCCCCCTCTGCCCGGGCGGCTAGCGGTAGCTGTACGAAGCTGCAGTGGGGAAGTCGGCGGCGTTACGTGGCATTGACCCAGAGGTTAGTGGAAAATGCGGTCTGAACGAGGTGGCCCTGTCTCTGGACCCAGGGACCCAGTCCGGGACAGCAACCTGCGGTAAAGAAGTGAAGAGCCAGGAGCTGGGCTCCTTGGAAATACTTTCCGGGGATGGCAGAGGGTCTGGGGATGCTTCCCCAAAGACCTGTGGATGGGGATAGTGAGACTGAAAGGCAGAGTCTTGGCTTCTGAGGAATTGGGAGAAATAAGTGAACAAACCAGTGTTTGATAACACTTGTGATAATAAGGAAGTGATTATACAGTGGACTATGTCTGTTTCTTTTTGTGTATACCTTGTCAAGGAATAGAAATTTCAGAATTAAATACTGCCCTGCCAACAACATACTTCATCCCCTATTTGAAACACCCTGCTGAGAAGCTCTCATTTACCTCTTAGTTTATTTTGCAAAGTTGTCAGTGCCTGTTCAGTCCCAATAGTCTGTGAATAGTGGTCTTAATTCTTTCAAACAATGAAGTATAGAATCTGAGGTCTGTGACAGATCGCAAAACCATCTACATCCGCTCTTTAAAGAAAACTAGAAGCACACATGATCCCATAAAGATAAACTTGATATATAATCTTCCAATCTTTTTTTTCATGCATATGTATGGGGCTATTTCCACAGTAATTGAACTTTCCTCTACATTTTGCTTTGTAATGAACAATTTTCTACACTAATACATATTATACTTTATTGTGAATGTTGGCATAGTATTCCATTATATGAGTATACCATAATTTATTGAAATAATCACTTATGAGGTTGTTTCCAGAATATCAGTATTCTAAAGTGGCATGTTTTTATTGTTCCCTTGGAACAGAATATCCAAAACAAAAGTATTAGGTCAAAGATATGCAAGATTTTAAGGCTTTTGATATATCTGCTGTCAAATTGCTCTCCAGAAAGTACATGAATTTACACTCAGCAGCTCTACTCCCAACATAAAAGAAAAACTTCCCATCATACCATCTTTTTCTTTTTTTCCTAGCTCTGAGACTCCTCAGCACAATGACTCAAGCAGAAATTAAACTGTGTTCTTTGTTGCTGCAAGAGCATTTTGGAGAGATCGTAGAAAAAATTGGAGTCCACCTAATCAGAACTGGCAGCCAGCCACTAAGAGTTATTGCCCATGACACAGGAACATCGTTGGATCAGGTATGTTTGGATCACAGTAATTTGCTTCCATTTCATTAATTTCTTTAACCTACCTTTGAATATTGTTACTCCCCACCTCACAAAATGGAAAAGGAAGCAAAGTCTGTGCTAGGATCAGAATAGTGTTATTTGGGAGGGGAAAGATGATGAGACATAGTGCCCAGGGTTCTGCTTCTCAAAGTGGCTCATCATGGCTTCTGAGGCAAATCTTTGCTCCTCCTATGCCATATGCCATACTTCATTTATTCATGAGTCTATTAATTTCAGTACAGCATTTAAGGAATAAGAATAATAGAGGGGATGGGACTTCCCTGGTGGTGCAGTGGTTAAGAATCCGCCTGCTAATGCCGGGGACATGGATTCAAGCCCTGGTCCGGGAAGATCCCACATGCCGCGGAGCAATGAAGCCCGTGCGCCACAAGTACTGAGCCTGTGCTCTAGACCCCGCGAGCCACAACTGCCGAGCCCGCGTGCCACAACCACTGAAGCCCATGAGCCTAAAGCCCGTGCTCCGCAACTAAAGAAGCCACCACAATGAGAAGCCCGCGTACCGCAACGAGGAGTAGCCCCCGCTCACCACAACTAGAGAAAGCCCATGTGCAGCAGGAAGACCCAAATGCAGCCAAAAATTAATTAATTAATTAAAAAAAAAGAATAACAGAGGGGAAGTAAATTGTACTTTGAAAGATAAAGATCAGAGGAAATATGAGCATCATAGCAAGGACTCTTCCTGATTTCTTCCATTGACATTCGCTTCTTATTAGCTATTCCAATGGAGAGAGGGAAGACACACAGAGATTCCAGCCATCTCCTGATGTTTAGGAAACTGTTGGACAAAAATTGCCAGCAATAATGAGCTGCATCTTCAGATTTTTCTTCTCTTTCTTCTGTGTTTTCTCTAGGTAAAAAAAGCCCTTTGTGTCCTCATCCAGCATAACCTGGTGATATATCAGGTGAACAAACGTGGTGTGGTAGAGTATGAAGCCCAGTGCAGCCGGGTGTTGCGAATGCTTAGGTATCCCCGGTACATCTATACTGCCAAAACACTGTATAGTGACACTGGCGAGCTGATTGTTGAGGAGCTCCTGTTGAATGGCAAGATGGCAATGTCAGCTGTTGTGAAGAAAGTAGCAGATCGGCTCACAGAGACTATGGAGGGTCAGTACTGTATCCACAGCTGTTAGCAAAAGCATAGATTGGCTGGCTGCAGGAAAGGACCCTTAGCTATCTGAGGCCATCTCACTTGCCTCTTTCCTCCTGTCGTACAGATGGCAAGACCATGGACTATGCTGAGGTCTCAAACACATTTGTGCGACTAGCAGACACACACTTCGTGCAGCGTTGCCCCTTGGTGCCTGCCACTGAGAATTCAGACCCTGGGCCACCGCCACCTGCCCCCACTCTTGTCATCAATGAAAAGGACATGTACCTGGTTCCTAAACTGAGCTTGATAGGTAAGGAATTTTGGCCCCTAGATCTGTGATTTGACCTAATTGTAGATTCTTCCTTAATGATTGTTAAATGAATGACTCAATCAATTAAGCAGTTACCAAGGATTTACTCTATGCCAGATACTGTGGTATAAAGAGATGAAAAAACCATTATGGTCCCTGCCCTTATGGGGCTTAAGTCTAGTATAGGAGGCTTACATTAATCAAATAGCCTGATGGATATATAACTAACAAACTGCAATAAGTACTATGAAGGTAAAATATGGGGTGTTATGAAAATATATAACAGGGGACCAGATTTACCTGGGGATTTGGGCACATGCTACTTGGAGAAAGTGGCATTTGAACTAAGATTTGAAGCAGAAGTAGGAGCCAACCAGTGAGGTAAGGTATGAAGGGGTACAGAGGATAAGCATTTTTGGCAAAGGGAATAGTATGTAGTGAGGAAAAAAAATAGGAATTTGAGAAAGTAAAAGAAGATCAGTGTAGTTAAAGTACAGTGAGGAAAGGAAAGCGAGCCATAAGTTAAGGTTAGACAGACAGTTAGGGGCTAGATCATGCAAGACCTCATAAAGCACCTGTTCTTTATCCTAAGAGCAAAGGACTACTAAAGGATTTTAAAGGAAGTAACATGATCTAATTGGAATTTTTTAAATATGTTTCTGTCTGTAGAAAGGATGGGGCAATTTTTCACAAACCAGTGAAAAATTAGACATAGGAAGGGTGAGGAAGACAGAAATCAAGAATGACATCTGTGTGTCTGACTTGAGTATGTGGGAGGATGTTGGTACCGTTCACTGTGAAAGGAAGCATTGGAGCAGGAGCAGTTTGAGGGAGAAAGACTATGAATTTCTTTTTGAACTTGTTGAGTTTCAGATGACTTCATCATTAACTTGAATTTCTTGTAGTTCCTCAGTCTCCTCAACATCTCTAACCTAGAGGTAGCTACAGATGTCTTTGGGATAGAGACACCTGCTTTCACCTTTGGTCATTTCCTGTTATCATATGAGATGTAGCCTAACTGTGCAACTGTTTTGTTTGGCAGGGAAAGGTAAAAGGAGGAGATCATCTGACGAAGATGCAACTGGGGAGCCCAAGGCCAAGAGACCAAAACATACCACAGATAACAAAGAGGTAATGAGGCTTCTTGGTTAGGAGTCCTCACCCTGAGGCAAGCCAGAAAGAGCACTAAGATGACAAGCTCCAAAAGAGCTTAAACATTCTTGGATCGAGAAGTAATAGGATTATGAACTTCATTAAATATTGGCCAGGGATAGACTAACAAAGAGTGAACTCTGTTGCTGTGTCCCTTCTGAGGCTTAACTTACTTCAGTCATTGGACAGAGGTAATAGATTAGGCAGAAAAAGGGCCTAGAAAAAGTTTAAATTGGTCAGTGTGACTGGACCATAGAGACCCATGGGGATGAGTGGTGATAAATGAGTTTAGAAAGATACGTATAGGCCTGAGCTCTTATATTCAAATGCCTTCTCAGCATCCCTGTAAAAACATCTGATAAGCATCTCAAAAGTAGTATGGCTAAAACAGAGTAATTGATTTCCTGCTCCCTGATATCTACTCCCTCCTAAGCTTTCCTCATCTTAGGGACACCACCAAGGCCAACCACCCAGGACACCATTTGCTTGGGCCAAAGTCCTAGGAGCCCTCTGATCTCACAGTAAAACCTGTCAACCCAATTTCTAAAAATAATTGAAATCCAACTATTTCTTATCGTTTCCACTGCCATCACCCTAGTCCAAACCATTATCACTGTAGTCAAGACTTTGCCAACACTCTCCTAAGTGGTCTCCCTACCTGCATTCATACCTACTTAAGAGCCAAAATGACTTTCTAAATTGTTCTTTTTAAAAAATCCCAACACA